GAGAGAGAGAGAGGGAGGGAGGGAGACAGAGACAGAGACAGAGACAGAGACAGAGACAGAGAGGCAGATGATCTTACCGTGACAGCGGTGCCGGGGTCGCAGCCCGCGTTCCAGACGAGCAGCTGCAGGCGCTCCTTGGCGCGGCCGGCGCGCACCTTGGCCGCGACGTCGCCGATGCGCTGGCCGAGCACGTCCTCGCCGTTGACTTCGAGCACGCAGTCGCCCGGGCGCAGGCCCGACTGCTCCGCCGGGCTGCCCGTCTCCACGGCGGACACCCACGGGTACGGGTCCCACTGGGTGCGGCTGATGTGGAAGCCGCAGCTGGAGGCCGCGCCCTGGCCGGCGCCGACGGCGGCCCCGGCGGCCCCGGCGGCCCCGGCGGCCCCGGCGGCCCCGGCGGCCCCGGGCTTCGCGATGCAGCACAGGCGCAGCGTGGCGCGGCCGCCCTCGGCGGTGAGGTGCTGGCCGCCACCCGGGACCCCGCCCGGGCACCCGCGCGTCTCGTCCTCCTTGCCCATGGCGTGCACGCAGACTGGCTGTGCTGTGCGCCTTGCAGCGGCGGGCTCCCTCGCGGGCCCGGGGCCCGGGGCCCGGGGCTCCCCACCGGCTCCCCTCCAGCAGACCCTCATCGGCGGCCGGGCGCGTGTCGTATGGGTTGCGCACCCGTCAGGCGCGCGCTGCCCGAGGTGGGACCACCTGAGAGCGCACGCGGAGCTTTACTTGATTTGTGTTGTTTTTTTTAGAAAAGAGTGGGAGAGAGTAATAGAGAAATGGCAAAGCGTGTTACGCGAACCGCCCCGCGAACCTACTAGCCTGCCGCGCACCCCGTTGACGGACCCGCGGTCCTCGAACTACTCCGCGCCTCCGCGCAAGCTCACAAAAGCTTTCGACTTGCCGCATTTCAAATCGCATTCGGTCAAGATGTTTTTGTGCTAAACTTTGTTGCCGTGAATATTTCGGACTTGGGAAAATATGCAGAGTTACTTGTGCGGAAGAACCCATCATTTCTCGAAGTGCGTGATGAACAGAGACATTTTACTCTACTATCATTTGACGCGACGGACGCGGGTCTGAAAATTGGTCTACACGCAGGAAAAGTTTCCGTGGATGAGCAATAACTGGCGTTTGTCGGCCCCGAGCGCCCGCCGTGCGCAGAGTAGGCCAGCCGCCGTGGAGACTACGGCCCAGCATAGCGCCAGTAGGGTAGCTGCGGACGAGCGACGAGTTTCACAGAGTAAAATACGAGTATAGAAGAGTTCTCCTCACACGGTTTTAAGAACTCCCTTTATGTGAAAACTAAAAAATTGAACTAATGTGAAATGGGTGTGAAATTCTGCCCCTGGCCTTTGATGCACTGATGCCCCAAGCAAGTCTGTGGCAGGCAGCGCCTCGGCAGCGTGGACCAGCAGCAGCAGCATCCCCTGCCCCCTCCACCCTGCTGCTCAACCCCACTACTGGTGGCCGCCTGCGCCGCCCCCGCACAGCCCCCAGCCGCCCCCCAGCCACCGCGGGCCGCCCCTGCCGCCAGTCGCAGCGGAGACCCCACCCAGGCAGGCCCCAGCCGCCCCCCAGCCACCGCGGGCCGCCCCTGCCGCCAGTCGCAGCGGAGACCCCACCCAGGCAGGACGCGCAGCTCGGACTGCCGCGCCGCCGCCGCTGCGCGCGCAGGACTTTACGCCGAAAACGCGAACGCGACACCCCCGCGATCACACCGTGACCATGTTCCGCCCCCAGCAGGGCATCGGCGGCCGCTTCTGCCGCGAGGAGGCCCGCTGCCTGTACGCGCTCGACCTGGAGGAGCCCGAGGAGGCCAGCGTGGACCTGCCGCGCGTCGGCCCGCTGCTGCTGAGCCCGCGCCGCTGCCGGAGCGCCGATCTCCTGGCCGTGCACTTGTTCTCCGTCATGTCGACGCCCGTGCTGGGCGGCCGTCGGCCCGCCGCGCGCGTCGTGTCCAGAAGCCCCATGGATTACGACCCGGTCTGGCGCAAGCAGCCCTTGCAGCCGCGCCCCGCCATCGTGGGTGACGAGCTCCACCGCGAGCTGCCACAGCAGGTGATCCGCGGGCAGGTCGTCAAGGCCCAGGACGACGTGGAGATCAAGGGAGAGGCCCCAGGACGACGAGGAGGAGGCGCTATGGATAACGGACGCGCCCGGCGCCAGTGCCTCTTGAAGCCGCGCCCGGCCATCGTTGGAGAGTTTGAGCACGAGCTGCCACCACAAGTCATCCGCGGCCAAGTCATCAAGACCCAGGACAAGATCAAGGAAGAAGCCCCGCAAGACCAGGTAGGAGGTGAGGGCGAGCAAGGAGCAGGTGGGAGCGAGGCGGTCACGAGCCCGGCGATGTCTGAGGGCGCGGCCAGCACTGAGGCGGTGTACGGCTCCGTCGACAACACCCCCGCCCGGGAGCTGGAGCAGGTAGACAAGCTCTTCACCAGGAAGCTCCTTGTGCGCCACGACACGCCCACGGTCTTGTTCGGGCTGCCAGGGGTGGGCAACCGGGCCAAGGCGCTGGAGCTGGCCGACTTGCGAGAGGCCGCCGGGGACGACCCCGCGGAGGATGTGGTCGAGTACGTCAAGTTTGGGTTGTGGGTGCCAGAGGACCCCGATGAAGGGCAGGATCTGGAGGCTTCCGTCGAGGAGCCGGCCGAGGTTGTCGTCGAGGGCGACGGGTGCGGAGGGCAATGTGTAGAAAGCAAGCGCAGGCCCCTGCAGAGAACTTGGCGCTCATTCAGCTTGGTGCCCGGATCGCACAGCAGTGATAGTCGTTTGGGTCACCCTCACAGCTTGAATGGGGAAATCGATCCCCTGGCACTGACCCTGCCGCCGCAGGGGACCAATCTTGTCAAGTTTAAGAATCTGGGGCTTCAAGATCTGTCCGAGATCAGTTCAGAGCTGGTGGACTTGCCCGTGCAGAGGGATGTGCCGAAAGATGCTGCAGGAGGCGGCAAGGGCGGCCTGGACATGGGAGGCCCCCCGACCGTGGTGCGCCCGGCGACCTTGAACTTGACCTATGGGGGTGACCCAGATCGTAGGGAGAGGCGGCTGCCCCCCGCCGCGCCGAGGGGAGAGGACGACATCTTGCCGTACGTCGAGGCTCCGCCGCGCCCGCTAAAGAGGGTGATGCAGTTGTGGGGGCGGGACAAGCAGCAGCCAGGGTCGCGCGCCTACCGCCCGGGACAGTGGGGCAGGCACGACCGCATCCTGGAGCAGGGCCTGAGGGGCAAGGGCCCCGGCGTGCCGCCGTTGGGTGACGGCTTGCACGTCGTCCAGGTGCATTGCGAGGACCGCGAGGGGAAGGCCGCCCAGGAGGCCGCCCAGGAGGCCGCCCAGGAGGCCGCCCAGGAGGCCGCCCAGGAGGCCGCCCAGGAGGCCGCCCAGGAGGCCGCTGAGGAGGCCACACTGTTCAAAAAATTGTTGTAAATTTACAACACATTTAATGTAAAGTTTGATAGCAACACATGTTGTTAAAAAAACGAAACATGTTGTAATTCAACGACATTCACAAAATTTTCTGAAACAAATTTTTATCTCAAAACAGTGAATATTTACTTCCGCCTGCACCAAAAATTTGTAGTAACACAAACTTGTTCGTTCTGTAACGATATATCTTGCTATTAAACTTTACAACGGTTTTGTTGTAGTATTACAACATGGAGAAAAGTAGGAATCATTATGGACCACTACGGGGAAAAAAAGGAATTTTTTAACAAACTAGTCATCACAAATAGTGAGATTATTTGACAACTTTTTTTAACAGTGCGGCGAGGAGGCCGGCGAAGAGGCCAGCGAGGAGGGCCAGTTGGCCGACAAAAGAGGGGACCACAAGGCCGGCGAGAATGCCTGTGGCTGGGCTGGCGAGGAGGCCATGCAGACTGCAGAGTTGGTGAAGAGCATGCCGCCTCCCCACTGGACTGGCGAGATCTCCACGATCGCGGCCGAGGCTGGGGCAGTCTACATCGACTACGAGGAGCAGAGGACAGGCAAGGAGGCCGTGCAGACTGCAGAGGGGGCGAAGTGCCGGCCGCCTCCGCACTGGACCAGGAGTCTCTCCCTGATGGCCGCCGAGGCCGGGGCTGTCTTTATCGACTACGAGCAGCAGAAAACGCTGGAGAACGTCCCGGCGCCCCCGGAGGCGTTTGCCGACCGAGTCCCGGGGGAGCCAGGCGCGCCGGCCTCGACCCTGCCCGAGACCAAGGACGTCCCCGAGGGGGCGGTGGGGCCCACGGCCGCGCCCGCAAACCTGGAGACACACTTCTCCTACGTGCCCTTCGCGGAGGCGCTGGAGGCCGACACACCCAAGACGCAGGAGGGGTGGCTGCGGCGCTTGCCGCTAGTGCGCCGGTGGCGCGAGGCTAGAGAGAAAAAGTACAAGAGGAAGCAGGGCAGGGAGAGGACGGCGAGCGATAGCTGCAGCGACGCCGGCAACGACGCCACGCCAATCGAAGAGGCTATGCGCCTCCACAGCATCGCCGGCGTGCTAGGCGTTGACCTCGGGGACCAGGATCAACACTACATGCGCGCTAGCGGCGACCAGCAGCTCGCCGAGGACCAGGTAAGGAGCATGCACTGCGCCCCGGCACACTGGTGAACCAAACAAGTTGTGTGCAACTTCAACTTGTAGTTGAATGCCAGCGAGTTCAAGTCGGAAGCTGTGCACTTGTAAGTGTTCACCTCCTCAACTGAGCACTTTTATTAATTGGACGCTCCACTGCAAAAAGTGCTAAAAAGAGAAGTTGCACTCTCGCAACTGAACAACTCCAGAGTTGGTTGAACACCTGCAAGTGTATACTACTGGCTATACGTACGCAGGCCCACGTCTCGCGTAACAGGCTTCGCGATAACTCACAAAACACTGTTGCGCTGCAACGCACATGGCGCACATACAGGGTGGTCCACAGACCCCTTCCTTTATTTTGCTTATACTGTACCGCATGCATGCGTGCGGGCGGGCTTGCCTACTGTCGCTCACTATGGGCGCCTTATGACCCCGTGCGAGTATGCAACCCATCCGCACGCCTGCATGCGGTACAGTATAAGCAAAATAAAGGAAGGGGTCTGTGAACCACCCTGTATAGCTGTCCTGATGCGCTTCCAACCGAGACGAGTTAAAGAGAATAGGTGACTGCGGAAATGCCGGCTTGCGGGGGGTATTAATCTCCGGAACGTTTTGTAACCCCCCTACTGGTATGCCGGGAGTAAAAATCCCTGGAAATTTTTTATATACCGGAGGTTAGTACTTCCACGAAATATTTAATCCCCCTACACGTGAAGTGAGGGTTGGGGGGGGGGGGGTATTAATCCCCGAAAAGTCCTACACCCCCTGTACTAGTATACTGGAGAGTATTGATTACCGGCATGCAAATATCCCCCCCCCCCCCGGTGCAGGGGTCCCCTGTGCCCTGTTAAATTTAAATTGCTGCAAAATTAATTTAACAGTGTGAGACATGGCGCACAATGGGGCACATTTAAAACATTCGGTCGAAGGTAACCAAGCAGTAGTATTTAGTGTGTAGGGCCGTCAAAACTTTTCAGGTGATGCAGAGCCCAAAGTTGCACGGCGGACACTGTAGATAGGTACTCGAAAACCCCCAGTGTGTGAATATCGCACAACTGTGGCTGAGAGAACTTCCATTCGCGCACTTAGACCAGTTAGAATATAAATTCTCCTGTAAAATTCGTACACTGTGCCCTTAATTGTACGAATGGAAATTCACACACAAAGTGTAACGCCAGTCACACATTTGGATTTCCAGTGTACACACGACACTCGAGCACACTCCCGGGTAGTCGCGGTTACACCCGAAACCCGAAGTGGGAAAGTGTCTTTTACACCAGAAACTTCGAAAAATTGACGCTTTTGAGAGGACATCAATCTCAATCTCAATTGGTGTCTGGCTTAGTATAGCGAGTTGCCTATTCAATTCATGGGCAAAATGGTGCTTCTATACGCTTGGTAGTTGAACAGCCCCGCCTTTTGCCCTGTCCCGCAGGTACAGGGATCAGCTGCAGGCCCGGCCGGAGGTTGGCTTCCACCCAGCGCAGACGCTGGCGCTCAGGTCCAGATCGAAGAGGCTCCGTGCGCCCAGCCTGTTGTCGAGGAGCCGTCCCGCGCTCCAATGCATGTCTCCTTTACCAGCCCTTCAGTGATGGTCGGCCCCAAGGCCGTCGCCCGACATGGACCCCTAGATCCAGAACGACCCGTTCAACTTCGCTCTGCCCTGCGGTCTCCCCGCACCCCCGAAGGACTTCCTCCTGTACCTGGTACGTCCTCGTCAAGGCGCCCATTGAAGGTAACTTAACTTTAAACTGCGTTACTTACAATTTTGCGACTTGCGTTACGTTACGTACTGTAACTAATGTGTGTTTTGGTTTGTTGCGTTACAACTGTAACAAAACTATGTTACATGAAACTGAAACGGTAACGCAGTTGTTTGTTACTGTTACTTTCGCATTATCTCCGCTGCCATGAGGAAGATCACAAAAAATTTTATGGCATTGATTTCGAAAGAGATAGACTTGCCATGTGCACTAATTGTGCTGCAATAATTCGATATACGGTTTCGTTAATACTTAAATAACAACGTGGAACATTTAAGTGAGTAGAATAAGTACGTTGCAGTAACGGATAAGGTACACCAAGAAAAGCGCGTGCTTGAAGGTCTTCAGTACATTTTTCGCGCTCAATTCAAGCCCAATTTAACCCTGAGCCAAGAACATGCGTATCAATCAAGAGCAAAAGGGGGATGATTTGGGAAGAAATTGGGGTTGATTTGAGCCCAAATACTCGACTACAATTAGGGTTGCAACCCTCTCATGAGATTGTCAAGTACTACATTGCAATCGATTCAAGTATATTGCACATGATACGAGAACACGCTTTTCGGGGTGTATGGGTGAAAAACTTCCTCTATATTACTGTAACGCGTAACGCAAAACTTAAGTTACCCGTCCCTGTTGAGGTCCTTATCGAGGTCCTCATCCTGGACTTGAGGATTGAAACTGACATTACACACTGAACCATGCATTGCGCCATGTACTATTTGCACAACTAAGGCAGACATAGTTGTGCACAAAATGTCCGGCATAACTTTCTAAAATTTGTTCGTGACTACATACACTTTTTGTGAAATTTTTTTAAAAGTTATGCACAAAGTACTTTGCATACATAACTATGGCTGCTTAAGATTCTGCAAAGTGCATCACATTTCACATTATGTACAAGTGTGTACTTAGACAGGCGTGCCTGTTGCAGGCATGCAGCAGCCACCCCTGACCATGGCTGTTGCACGTTTGGATCCCTTGGCCGATCCAAACTTGTCAGTAGAACAACTCCCGACGACCCACCTCACTCGCCAGCGGCGGGCATTCTTCTGCTGTCTCCAAGGTTCCGACGAAACGGAAGTGTAAACCAGCAACGGACATGTGTGAATTGTGATCAATGTTCCCATGTATTTCTGTGCGCTTCTATGTTACTATTGTATGGTATTTTGAAGTATATTTGTGTATTTTTTGTACATAACACCCCTCATTAAAGTGTGCCGCGGAGTGGTGCTCTGTCCTGTGCATTGTATCCTTGTTCAATGTGGTATAAACTTAGAGAACTGTTAACCGTTGTGTAAATAATGCGAATATTCTTGGTCTCGTAAGATTGTATTTGATTGAAAAGCTTGACACTCTAGTCAACCGGGGAGGAGGTGATTTTGTGTATTTCTGGGTGTCAGAAAGCGTGCATTTCTTGTATTTTTTGACCAGTATTTTCGTGAACTGCTATGTGTTATAGAGTATTTGGTTGTAATTGTTTATGTGTATTTCCTCGTATTTTTGTGTACACATTCTCTTTTAAGTTTCCCCCTCCCCTCACAACTGTTTTCTTTGACAAGCGCGAATTTCCTCGCTTGTTGTAAGAATGTTTTCACGTAATCACGTATATTGTCTATTTATTGTAATTGTAACATGTTTGCACGATTGTCAGCCATGGCGATCTGTTGATAATCAATGAAATACCCTGTCTGTAACTGCAAAGTGTTGTATTCTTAGATACTCAAAATATTAATTGACTATTTTCATTCTGATTGTAAGTTTATCGCCATCTTTTGTCGTCTCATTCTCAACTAATGAGCATATGAAACTGCCTTTCATAAGTCTTTGACACAAGTGTACTTTTTTGTACATTTGAAACAGTTATTTTTTGCACAATAATTAACTATTGTGACATTATTTGTGAATTGTATTTAATGTTATATGGGTAAAAGAATGTGTTGTAAAACTTAAGAATTTAATTCATATGAACTTGAATTTTGATTTTAGGATTGTTTACATGAATATCTTTTCAAGGCTATAGCAAACAAATTGCTTACCGTAAATGTCCGCACGCTGTTGCAAATTTGTGTTGTTTTCTTTTCTTTCTTTTTTTTCTTATTTTTCTTTCGAATAGTGGGCATATGCAAACGACCTACTGTTCGTATGTTCCTAAATGGAAATGTAGAGATTTGAAATAGACACGGCAACGCCTGCTGTGCCGACAAATCCAACCAACTCCGATCAACCCGCACTACTAGGGACCGGAATGGTGTAGGGCATGAGGGGACTCGGACCAATAGTCGTCCGTTTTCCTCCCATCCCTCGCCGCCTAGGCGCGCAATCATTATATGAGGCGAATGGAAAATTCATAGGCAAAGGCCCGGCCAAAGTTGCGCGGGAGCAGAGCAAGCGTTTAGGAGTTTTAAAACAATTGTTTGCAGGCTCGGTACCGCGGACGTAAGGGAGAGTAGTGGGGTATATAGTCTCACTTTTTGGAAAGTCTTCTCTCGCAGTCCTAGTTTAGGCAGCATTACGGATTTTAGGGTTGGTGTGCCCGCGCAAAAAATATTCGTGTCTTTTCTCAAATCACCTCGAGAAGAAACCTCGGCAATTGACAGTATGTGCCCCGGGCGAGGGGGCCACCCCACCACTCTCTCTTTGGATGTACACATGATTGCAAAGATTGCGTGATTTCACATGACTTCACGGATTTCGCATATTATTTTAGAAGATTTCACGCTAAAACCTGCCGGCAGATTATGTCTGATTTGAAGGATTACAGATGATTTCAGCGGATTTTACCGGATTTCGGCGGATTTCACAAGATTCCGGCGGATTTTACGTGATTCCGGAGGTTTTTACATGACCTTCTAAGGATTTCAGACTAAAATTTGCTGGCAGATTACGCATGATTTTATGATTGCAGGTGGATTTTTAAATGATTTCGGGAGGATTTCAGGGAGGGCGTACACATGATTTCAGGAGAAGTGCTTTCTCGAAATGGTCTTAATGGCATCTCGGAAAGGAAGTGCCAATGGAAGCATTTCACCCCCAAAAATCAAAATTACACGAAAACATTTTCTGCTACAACAGATCATAAAAAGAGTGACAGTGCCTGCCCCAATTTGGGGGAATTACTGTCAATAAATCTTTGGATGTACGCTGCTCCTATACCACTGAAAGTTTCGCCACTCGCATTTCGCAACCAAATAAAGACGTAAAGAGGTTGCGATTTCACAAATTAGATGACTGAAAAAGTGAATGGGCTGCTATTGCCAGCTCATTGACAGTATGTGCCCCCAACAGCTGGTAGCTGGTGCCCCACTCTCCCTTACCTCGTTACAACATTGTCTCATTTTCCGAGAAAAGAATGCCTCAAACAGAGGTGCCAATGTGCAGTGGAGTAGGCTCGTAACATTTGAAATAATTCTTTGTACATTGTGTGTCTCGTTCGCCCAATGTGTGGCGCTTTAGTATGGTGTTTATCACCCAGTGAGAAACAGTTACATCGAAATGATGTCAGACTGATATCGTTGTCGGTAAATTGTCGATTATCGTGTCGAATCGATCCTGAGATGGTCTTAAAATCGAGACATTTCCGATAACTGACATCTATTCGATGTCGATTCGATGTCACATCGATTTTGATTTCTCACTGGGCATATGTTAAAACTTTTGTGTACCGCTAAGAAGTATATTTGTTGTTTCCAAACCATTCGATGTTGCTGCACGCATGCTTGCCTTCCTCTCCGTCAGTCTGGAACACTTTATGTGAATATATATGTACCACGTGAGATTGTATTGTAATTCTTTATTGCGATGCGATTGTCCAAAAAAAAATGAGTCGATATTGTTTTTCGGCCTAGTTTCATAATATATGTCTTTGCGACGAAATACCTTCAAACAAAAAAGTGACTTTTTTTGGACTTACGTTCCTTTGTCAATTTACCAGTGAATTCATACGTCAGTGTGAAACAGTTTATGTACATAAATTGGCCGTGAGTCGAAGATGGTATTGTGATCGTATTGTGATTGTAATTTATTTGTGGAATGGGGGTGTGTGGGTGTGTGTCCTGTCGTTGTGTTTGGTGCATGGGATATAAAAACAGTAGTATTCCTGTGTTGTGCCTTTGTGTATTTTTCAAACATAAAAGTAATATATTTCCCGCTTTTATATTTTAAAAAACGTCATTTCTATTTTTTATGACTTTTCCTCGTTTTTCTTTTTGTTTTTGAGCCCTCTGTCAAATCTCTTTTATCTTTCATAACGAGTTTTATCTTTTAAGTAATATGACGGCACAATTAGAAAAACAAAACTAGATAGATAGGTAGACAGATAGATAGATATACTATTACTGACGTGTTTTGCAGTAGCTACTGGCTTCAACGATTGTTGGTAATATCTACTATCGTTTGACATTGAATGTGATGTTTTTGAGCTGTGTTGTTCGATAGTTCCAGAAATGTATTCATTTTGAATGTTATGCGACTGAATGTGATCTGTAGTTCTGGGCAATTCCAAAGCGTCACAGCGATAGTACACAAAGAACGTGTTTCTTCCAAGTTTTTTAAGGGTAGGTGGACTAATTGAGCCAAATCGCTTACATGATTTTTTAAGAACTTTTTAAGGCATATTCAATGAAATTCCCGCGGTTGCCGAGCGATGAACCGTTTAGATGTTTCCCCTTGCAAAAGATCGTCACTGGCAGACATAAAACGGAAGTGGTTTTTGAAACATTGTCAATATGGTGTTAGAATTGTTAACGTTTTTGGAATTGCCCTTCTATACACTTAAATATTAAGTATTTACTATGAACCAACCAGTAGAGTTCACCCTTGAGCTTATGGTCTATGGTAGATGATGATTTGTGTCCCTCTTCTTGAATGTGATCCTAGTGCATAAAATGTAATCGTTTGTTGTTTCGAAACCCTGCTGCTGTTAATTTCCAAACTGTAGTGCGACTGTATCTCTACAAAAATTCTCTGTGATTTCACGCAGATATAGTCGTAAATTGAATTCACAACGTCCCTCGGGATTTCTCAACGGGCTTTGTAAAGTTGCTAAATAAAAATCACGCAGATTGCGCAAAATTCGTCGTTTATGAAGATTGATAATGGCTGTTTGAACTTACGAACTAAGTTCGTAAACCCATAAAGCTTCCTCTGGCGATCTTTAAAACTTAAAATTAAAACCATTCGTAGGCAAAAAAACTAAGTCCTCTGCGTGAATTCATAAAAGTGGCAGAGTGAATCTTCGGTAAATACCACCAAATTTTTAATAGTGTGTTGTTGTGTTTGTTGTTGTTGTGTTTGTTGTTGTTGTGACCAGTTAGTTGGAGCACTTAAAGTTATGTTCCCAAGCTAGATTTGACTTCTTTTCCCATAAAAATTGACCACGAGTATTAATCCGCTGTAACCATGAAAAAAGGGTATTTGTACCATATCACCATGATTGAAAAATAACGCACATCATCTGTATCAAATCATCTTTTTACTATTTCCTAGTAGATTTCCATTTGATCATAAACATATTTTTGCGTTGCAAACTTTCTTGTCTTTAAGACAGGCGCACGGGGCTGCCGGGGGGGCATTCGCCCTTCTTGTGGACTGGCAACACTAGAAAAGAAGAGAGCGTTCTGTCAAACCGACGCGGGATACGGGGGCCGATGGATTTCCCAGAAGTGTACTGTAAAAATTTTGTTTTGCAAAATCTTGCAGAATTTTATAGCCATAAGTATGCACAAATTTTTATGCATAATTGTGTACAAAATGTGCATAATTATGCACACATAGTTATGCATGAAATTGTGCCTAATATTATGGCTGTACAACATTCTGCAAGTTTCATGCACAACAAGCGACGGTTCCTACGAGAAGAATACGATCTCGCCGCGCCGAACCAGACAAGTACGATCTCGCCGCGACAAACCAGACAAGTACGATCTCGCCGCGACGCTCCAGAAGCGTACGAACTCATTTCGCCGCGGTGCGTGCACTCGGAGCTTTGCCTCTTACTCGTCGCAGGCATGTCGCAGCAGTTTGGGCGATATTCCATTTTAATGGCAAAACAATAGGGATTAAAATGAGATGCCGCCCAAGCTGCTGCGATATACCTGCGACGAGTAAGAGGCGTCTAAAGCTCCGAGTGCACGCACCGCGGCGAAATGAGTTCGTACGCTTCTGGAGCGTCGCGGCGAGATCGTACTTTTCTGGTTTGTCGCGGCGAGATCGTACTTGTCTGGTTCGGGGCAGCGAAATCGTATTCTTCTCGTAGGACCCGTCGAAAGAGCATAAAGATTTAGTGTGCGTGTGTGTACGGAAAAAAAAGAGTTGGTCATCGCAACCGATAATCTGTTGCCACAACTGACAAATCAGTCACCAAAGTGATGACTGACAAAAAGGGGTTGTCCCAAATGGGTATTTCGGTTCCCACAACCGACGTTTCGTTTAACAGACCATTTTTGTGAGCTGTGCCAACAGATTTCTCAGTCATCACCGAGTTAACAGACTTATTTTTTTCCGTCTAAGAGAGAGATTGTTTTTGCAAACACATGGGGTCGCAAATGTCGCCCCAAACACTGGTAAGTGCGAGTGACAAACCCAAGTGTGTGAATGTCGCACACTTGTAGGTGTGTGAAGAACATTCGTACACAGGCTCATGTGCGTGAATTTCAAACCAAAATCATTCACACATTCACTCCCTTAAGTGTACTCCTTATGTGGGTATTTTCACACACCTACAAGTGTGCGACATTCATACACACTTGCGTTTTCAGGTTAGTAAAAACAAACATAACATGTAACTGTGTTCTCACACTTCAAAGAGCTTTTCTCTCTTTCAGGTGGACCCTTACCAGTCGCCTTCTCGCAGTTGTAGGTCCGTAGCACGCACTCGGAGCCGAAGGTGGTCAGCTTGGGGTCCTTCTCGGTGCCGCCCGTGCGGACGCAGACGGGCTCGTACTGGACGCTGTCGCACTTGGGACACTTGCTGGGCGCGGGGGTGAACTTGTTGGCCTGGGTGACGTCGGCCGTGAGGCACAGGGCCACTGGGAAAATGAGTACATACATTAGCGTCGGCAGCAGCCCGAGTTTTACAGAAAAGTGGCCATCGATCAGTGTCCGGCCAAATATGACACACTGCAAAAATTTCTTGTCACGATGACCACAATACCACGGCTATTT